GCGTCAACAATCAGAGCTTTGCATGCGCAAGCTGGTTAAGGTTAGGATGGGGGTGAGGGGAAGGTTAAATTGCAAGAGGGTAAAGGTCACAATTCGGTCAAATGTTCGTTTTATGGCGGTTGTCAGTACCGATGCTCTGGCACAGCGCGTCGCCTCCCGACATGCTGTCTTTTCCGAGGACTGCATCTCGTCGGTCGTTATCACGTGACAGCGACTAGTCGATGACAGGCATAACAAGTCATTACAGAGCCGTGAAGTCGACTAGTCAATACAACCCCTAATGAAAACATTGCCTGCGATCTTTTTTTTTTTTTTTTTTTAACGTGTCCTGTCTGGCTGTGAAGCAAGCAGAATTGATTTCTGAATGCTGGTAACAAGCCTTACAGTTTTACTCTCAGGTGGAGCATCAGAGCATCTGCTTTTAATGTCTCAGGTGGAGCATCAAAGAGTCTGCTTTTAATGTCGCACCTGATATTTAAAACTTTATTGTTATTGTTTTTGAATGCTTTGTAATTTCGACCAGACACGGAGACAGAGGTGAAAGAGAAAGGAAAAGAGAAAAGGTGGGGAGAGAGGGGGTTAGGTGGGGGGGGGGGGATTCAACAAAAATAAACAATAATGAACAAGAGTCTGCTTCTAGACCTGCAAAATGAGACGAGAAAAAAGCAAAACATAACAAAAAAATGGGACACAACACCAATATAACAAAATCAAGCTATCACTGCGTCAACTTGATGAAGAAATATATAATCAATCATTGTTTAACTAAACAGTCACACGATAATATACCACAGTGCATTGAGTGCCCACCATAGTCTTAAGACATGTGTTGAACGTGCCCAAGCCCATACTTATGAGAGCACCATGTGAGCACCTGTGTGTGTACACGCGCTTGTTTATGTAAGGTTTCTCTATAGGAGCGTCCAATAGAGAGTGTGAGGGACCACAGATCTGCCCCCCAAAGACGCGTAGGAGACGGGGGGAGCTCCAAGTCCCAGAGATCCAGGCGCTGCCCCAGAACACAGGAACCCCAAGGAGCCCGCAACCAGAAAGGCCCCCGCCCCCCTCGAGAGGCACAGAGGATCGCCCCGGGGGGCCACAACCAGCAGCCGGCAGAGCCCCGGGAGACATCAGCGGCAACTCCTCAGGCCTGCCCGCAGCCTCCCACCCCCTAGCCGGCCGAGTCCGGGACCCAGCGACCCGGGACCCAGGGGCGACCACCCCCGCCGGGGACCCAGCAGAGCCCAGGGACCCAGACCCCCCCAGGCCGCCACCGGGATTGATCAGGCAGATGCCAAAGATCTTAAACTCCCTGACCCGGGAGCCACGATCCTTGATGAAATTCTCTGGCCAGATCCAGCTAGGCGAAGAGACAATGTCTAGTGTTTTCTTCGGTAACAGTAAACTTACAGTACGACACGTAAAGTGACATGTTGTTACAGTACTATGAAGCTCCATGTCAACATTTTGGGCCTGTTGAGAAATAAATGAGTTTCTTTAGTGTGCAACATTGGTCTTGTGTAATGTTTGGTGGGTTTACTTTATATTTGTACTTTGTTGATGGTAGCCTGCTCTAATCATAGGCAAGTAGAAGTGCTAAAAGTGTTGTAGGTTTATCACAGCAAAGTGTAACTCGAGCAAACAGAGTATGGTAAATGTGATGCGTGTGTTTCTAATGGTAAAAAGTGTGGTTTTTAAACATAAGCGTATAGTTTTTACAAGAGTGTTTAATTATGCAAAGGATCTGTAGTGTTTTGCTAATTGGGTGTGTGGTTGTGCTAATCGTGTTTACTGTTCTGAAAATCGTGCTTAAGCAATCTAAAAAAACTGTAAAAATCTTGTCACAATAGAACCGATGCAGTCATCAGCAGTTTTAAAGCATTAGAACTACACACACACACACACACACACACACACACACACACACACACACACACACACACACACACACACACACACACACACACACACACACACACACACACACACACACACACACACACAGACCAGTGCTTTTATTTGGACTCCAACATTAAGAGCTTACTGAAGAACTGTCCATGAAATGTTTGGTCCTCATACGTGTTACGAAAAATGATGCTGCAGTATGTACAGAGCATCAGAGTTAACGGGTGAATGGAGAGCCACTGTAGCTTTTTGTAGAGTCTTCCCCTGAGCTGAAATATGTCTGACCAGGAAGTCTAATTAAATACACAATCGACAATTAGCTTTGGATAGTAAATTCATTGGAATATACAGCGATGCGTTGCCATTACACCACACTTCAGGAGTGGTTTACAAGTGTTTGTCACCAGCAGCAGCTAAACGTAGGAAACATCATTCATCCAGGGGTTGAGTCTCAACTGTTCTGCTCAAAAGTACATTTTATAAACTCTGTTTCTGCTAACAGAGGCTGTTCATATGTACAGAGAGTATGTAGTACTTCACCCGTAGAAAACTAACCACATAAAACACCAGTGCTGTAATGTTAGTGTGTGTGTGTGTGTGTGTGTGTGTGTGTGTGTACATGCATGTGTGTGTGTGTGTGTGTGTGTGTGTGTGCCTGTATTCGTCTTTTTTAAATGATGTATTGTGATCGACCTGAAAGCCAAAGCATAGCTGTCGGACTAATCAGGTCAACATGAAGAAGACTGGGTTTTAATTATTTCTGTGACTCCACACACACACAATCAGACCATCTGTGTTTAATTACCTTCCCAATCAGCTCAGTGGCTCCAGACCAAAGGAGGAATGCTTTGTCTCTATTCAGAAATAAGATATTCATACAGAGACAGTAGGGTGTGGGAGGAAGACCTCGTAACCCTTGGCAACGATCACCTGTAGTTGCAAAAAAACTGAGTCCAACAAACAAAAACAATATGAAGCAACACTATGAGAGGGATTTATGTTTTTTAACAACACAAAATACCAATTTCATTTTACTTTAGACTTCCTGACAGTGGCAGAGGAATTAGATGTCCATCTTGTGTCTGGAGGGTTGCAGGTTCGCATCCCACCTGTCAGAGTCATTGTGTCCCTGGGCAAGACACGTCACCATCCTTGGTGGTCAGAGGCACCGGTGGCACCTGTGTATGCCAGCTTCACCTCTGTCATTGTGCCCCAGGGCCGCTGTGCATTGTAACTCATCACCACCGGAGTGTGAACGTGTGTGTGAATGGGTGAATAACTGATTAGTTGTAAAGCACCTGAAGGAGGAACCTCTGGATGGCTTTTTGCAGCATTTAACAAGAAAACCTAGAGAGATTTTTAAGTGATTGGACATGTCATCAGCACCGGATGGTAGAACAACTCTTCTCTGTTTGCTCTGTATTAACAGCACTGTGATGTCACTGCCTAGCACTGAATGCAGCGTGGCTTTTATCTGGATTGGGCAATTATTCATGTATGAAAAGATCAAAACAAAGTGGCAGGCCAGTCTACAGAAAACCCGAACACCTTTAATGCTTCCATCCATTAGCAACACCTGCTTATCCTATTAGAGCATCACGAGTGGGCTGAGGCAGTCCCCGCTGACAACCGCTGACGTTTAAGCTGCAACCTGACTGTGATGTCAGTGTGGAACAGTTCTTCCACCACGAGCTTCCTTTTAGACCATTTCTGTAGAAATCTTGTGTAAACCCAACAGACCTGTAACGTGTGCACCACACCAGATGTTTGCTACTGACGGTAGAGGAGACTGAAGACTAATACAGCTAGCAGGCCTGCAGCAAGCTCTTCATTTATGCTGTGTGTTTGTGTGAGTGCGTACAACCACTCTAGCAACACACACACACACACACACATACACACACACACACACACACACATACACGCACACGCACACACACACACACACACACACACACACACACACACACATACACGCACACGCACACACACACACACACACACACACACACACATACACACACACACACACACACACACACACATGACACAAATGGCTTGAAAAGCACGTCTGGGATTCTGATGCCGTCACACGTCACAAAGGCGACGGGTGACGGCTGAGAAGGATGTGGTGGTGATGACGGCTCATTCAGGCTCATCAGAAGCAAAACAGTCTTCCAGTTACAAACCTGGAGTCACAATGACACGACTAAAGTGTAATCCTTTCTAGAAAAAGGTGAAAAGTTTGAGGGAAAAGAATGAAAATGTCAGACTAGTTCACCAGCTAGAGGAAGTGAAGCCCATTGCGCTTGTGAGCCTAACGGTAGCAGGTCAGTGTTTTATTTCATTCCTTTAGGAGTCGACATGTCTGCGTGTGTTTTTGCTCACGAAGCCACAAACGGCATCATGGAGCATTTTCCTACATCATTCTGATGCGTGGACTCAGAACTCACAGAACTTGTTTTATTTTAGTTTGGTTTAGATTTTAATCCAAACTAACTACTTTATACAGATTGTTTAACCTTTTTTTAATCCTAGCTTTTCAACTTCAATGTCAAACCAGTAAAAATGGTTCAGTTGAGCCACTGGACAGCAAAGATGTCAGTGAACATGAAATACAACTGATTACAGTTTTCATTTTCTCAGCTGCCAGTCTAAAGATGATGAGCAGCCTGCTTTAGCAGCTGCACTGTGTTTGATTTCATGTTATTAATGGTTACGGAGCGATAATGCAGGAGCAGGTCACCTGTACTTCACTTGGATCACTCACACTGGACTGAGAGGCACTTGGGCTGAGTAACTGTTGTTTATCAGGCAGGAGGGGTGTCTAGTCGTACCGACTGAGCACTCAAAGCACTTTACATCTAACCCCCCCCCCCCCCCTGATTTTAAGATATAAGGCTATGTGAGGTAAAGGTCTTGTCCACGGACACTTTGACGATTGGTACAGGAAGTTGGGATAGAACAAGAATCTGGTAGGCAGCAAATACTGACGAGCACATTTTAGTTGTGATCTTTTAGATAAAAAAACGGTGTTCCCGTTCCTGTAACGTCGCACGTATGACAAATTACAGCAGAAGCTAAAATCCTCTCACCTTATGATGACATACATGACCAGGAAATTCCCCACAAGGCCAATGACACAGACAATCATATAGACGACCACTATGGTGACCTTCACCCCCGTTGGCAGAAGGCCATCGGTCTCGTTGTAGGGAACGCTGATGTTGTCGAAAAATGAGTCATTGAATGAGTCATTGATGATCTGCAGGTCGGCCATTCCTAAAAGGTCATCGGGAAACTCCATCTTTCACCGTCTGGTGGAACTTCCTACCCACCTAAAAGAAAAAGAAATAATCACAATAATGTTGGAGCAAACCAACACCTGTAGACACACGAACCTCCATGTTACAATAACCAAAGGGTTTTTGTCTTCGCCAAGGATCTTAAACCCCCTGACCCGGGAGCCACGAACACTCAGGCAGACCAAGGCACTCAGGCCTTGTTTTTAAAGCTTTTTCAACGTGGAGAGTTTGTGACAACCTGAGACTCCAGCAGGGAGACGAGCTGCAACTCCTCAACACGACGTTTTATTGGAATTAATGACATTTAGCAGAGAAAAGATGGTTTTCGACATCTGTTCAAGAAACGGTGTGGTTTCGTGGGCGACGGTGGCACAGGAGTTAAGTGCTCGCCCCGTAATCGGAAGGTTGCAGGTTCGAGTCCCGCTCAGTCTGTCGCTGTCGTTGTGTCCTTGGGCAAGACACTTAACCCACCTTGCCTGCTGGTGGTGGTCGGAGGGACCGGTGGCGCCAGTGCTCGGCAGCCTCGCCTCTGTCAGTGCGCCCCAGGGCAGCTGTGGCTACAATGTAGCTCATCCCCACCAGTGTGTGAATGGGTGAATGACTGATTGTGTTGTAAAGCACCGTGGGGGGTTCCAGGACTCTAGAAGGCGCTGTATCAAATACAGGCCATTCACCATTTACCACTGTTTCTCTCATCCTGCTCGCTCCCACCATCGGAGCAGCTTGTGGACTGTACCAATTTGAGGGTTAGTGGAGGGGGAGTCATCATCTTTGGATGAATGAAAACACAATGTTTTACTGATTTAATTTGTTTTTTGTTTGTGCTCTGCTTTCACTGGACAATACTGTATCACTGTTAAATATGTTTGCATGTTAAATGTTTGGGGGGGGGGGGGGGGGGGGGGGGGACAACTGCTCTCCAGAGAGGGGCATGACCTTATCCCTAAGTCAGCCAGGTCAACTTATCAAGAAGATCCAATTTAGCCGCTTGTATCCAGGATCTTGTTTTTCTCTTTATATATGCTTTATTTATCATTTTCATCCCATTTCAAAGTAGCAAAAGACAAAAAATGTGCCTTACATCATCCTCAAATGTAGAGTTGGTTGAGAAGGTGCGCACATAGAAGCCACAAACAGCATACAGGTGTCAGGGTGTCCACAACGTTTAGGGTGACCATATTTTCATTTTCCAAAAGAGGACACCTGGCTCGATCGTGAAGAACTTTTCTACTTACAGAAAATGTTTACATATTTATGGAGAAGACGACCAAGAAGAAACAATCTTTTATGTAGAGTCTCTCAAGGTAAAAACCACGAGGCACTTCACTAAAAAAATTAAATGATTAACTCTGATAAGAATCAGTTAGTCTGAGTGTGTCATGCAGGCTGAACACAGCTGTTTACAGCGAACTCTACGAAACTACTAAAAGAACCTAAAACCGACTTAAACAGATGGTATCTACTGCCACTTTCCTTCTTGGGTAGAATCGAATGCATAAGAACGAATATTCTTCCAAGATTATTATTTCTTTTTCAGATCCTCTCAATCTCAATTCCACAGGCCTTCTTCAAAACACGTGATAAGTTAACCGCTACATTTATTCGGCAGAATAAAAGGCCAAGAGTCGGTCTAAAAATCTTAACGTCTACTAGAGAAAACGGGGGCTCAAAGCTCCCTAATCCTAAATTGTGCTATTGGGCAGCTCAAATAAAGGCTATGGGTTGCTATGGAAGAGCTGTCGCTCTCAGGAATCAGTTCCTCAACACTCTTATTCGTAGGGTTGGAATCTCAGAAAAAATTTAAATGACTGATTTATTTGTTAAACACACATTAAGGATTTGGAAAAAAAATCAGAAACACCTAACCTGAGCTATGCCCATGGAGAGTCAGAGAGTCTCTCTGTTTGTCCAAGTCAAGAGGATAGTTTTCTTAGCGATGCATATGGCCGTCAGAACCACGTGAACCACAGATGTTTCAGTCGGGACATGGTCCAGGTTTCCCAGTAAACAAAGAGAGGGGGAAGTTGGGATATGACATTTCAGACACTTTGACTCTACCCCAAAATTCCTGGACAGGTGGACAGGACCACAGTGCATGAATGTCATTGTCAGGAACGTTGTGTGTGCAGTGTGTACAGGTGTCAGACGACACAAACCCCATCTTGAACATCCGATGGCCTGTATACCATTGGAGCGGTTTGCAGCTGAGGGTGGAGCAGCTGGGATGAGAATCAGCTCCCCTAAATCTGAGACCATGGTCTTTAGTCGAAAAAGGGTGAAATGCCTTCTCCAGGTCCGGGACCAGGTCCTGCCCCAAGTGGAGGAGTTTAAGTATTTTAAGTTTGGGATTCCCCAGAGGAGTTTACCCAAGTAGCTAGGGAGAGGGACGTCTGGGCCTCTCTGCTTAGGCTGCTGCCCCCGCGACAAACCCCGGAGAAGCGGAGGAAAATGGATAGATGGATGGATGTTTCCTTTTTTATAATAACATTTTTGCATGTTTTTCTTTTATTAATGTCCATCTAGGAGAATAAACGTATTAACTTCAGATGATGCTTCCTCACACTGAGTCATTTCATTTTCTTTATCAAAGTCCAAATTTAGCTTTAATTCAGACCCTGTCCAAGACCAAAGTCTTCCTTGGTGTAGACCACCCCCGTGGATGTTTGAACCCTAACCCTAACTCCACCATGTTGTTTTAACACACAGCTCACATACACTTCAGAGCAGAATAAGGGCGCCAAACTGTCTGCCCTCACTGAGATAACATCTACCACCATCAGCTCATGCCCAGTGGATCTGGAGTCTGTTTGAAAACCAGAAGACTGATGGCACATACGAGTTATTGTCCACATTTTAAAGAAAGGTGCATACAAATAAAGGTGGAGACCCTGAAATAAAGTATGATTCCTCTTTCTGATCTGATCTAACTCCCACCTCATCGTTAGCCATCCTCCCAAGTGCAATACAACTGTGGGAAAGGCAGCTCTTCCACTGCATCACCCCTACATGCAGGCTGCATCAGCGATGCATCAAAAGGACGCTGTGAACCAGCACCCTCCATCTCTTTCTGCGTCATCATCAATATTCATCATATCAAAGAAGCAAACTTTCTCTGCTGTGTAGCTGAATTTTCCTGGATAGCTGCCAGGCCCCACGTATACGTCTTCTGTGAGCTTCGGTGTCTCTGTCTTTCTTCTCCTTCTGCTTTTTGCAAAGTCGGCGTGTTTTCGCTGTCTGAGCTGAGTTAAAGTAAAGGTCTTTAGTATGTGCCCATGTAAGGCTGCAGCTGCAAGCTAGTTGGGCTACTGTTTACCACCCTCAGATTGTGCAAGAGGAAAAACAAGTGCTGTGGACAGATGTTCTCTCAACCCCAGCTGCACGTTTGTCTCAGTGAGTTTTATCCTAAATTTGAGTGATTCAGTTTAACTCAAGAAAGGCAAAAGTCGTTTTACAGGAATGGGCACTGGTCTATACGAATCAGATTGTGTTCAGTCAAACTGGATCTAAATTATTCCAGTTTGAGTCATTTATATTACCATCAGATTATTTCCAGTTCACCACCTTTTAGTCTAATCTAACACGTGAAACACACTGCTCCAAGCAGAACCAGCCCACAAACATCTGAAATCCAGCCTGAGCAATCGAGCCCTGACCCTATCGTCATCATGACCCTCGACGATGGTCTCCAGGTTTGGATTACAAACAAAACACCAACATCCCAGACACGATGGGCCGAGAGGATCTTCCTCCTCAGGCTCAGCCTTATCTCCAGTTTACACCAGCTGTATGGGCGGCGGCACATTACAACTTAAGCTCCACAGCACTGTTTAAAAAGTAATTAGTTACAGTTACAAATACAAATAAACTTTTTGGAAAAAGTAATTGAGTTAATAACTCCATTACCTCATTATTAAAGTAATAAGCTATCTAAAAAAGTAAGAGTGACATTACTTTTATGTTCTATAACTCAGTTACGTTCTAATATATCTATACCATCAAAGAGTTGTTTTCACTGAATGATTCTTCCTCTCTAGCATGAACACGTCAGAAACCTGACATGCTCATTCAGTAGAACAGATTTCAGGAATGTTCATTTCCAGTAGGAAAAATATCATCATAAATAGCTGGAATGCATATCCAGTCTGCCTAATAAATGTTAAAAAGACCACTTTAGGTTTTTAGGAGTTTAGAGATCTCTCAGACTTCATTCCTACTGGCGGTTGTTATTTTGGATTTTCTTAGTTATCATTTCTACTAGTACCCACATAGCTGTTGATGTCTTCATTTGTAATTTTAACTACCAACAATACAATTAGTACTAGGATAAATGAAATTATTGCCATATAAAAGGAAATACATAGAGGTCTAATTGTTGATTAAATGAAAGAAAGAAAATGATTTTTACACAGTGCCTCTTAAGATAAAAATCACGAGGAGCTTCAGACAAAAAATGTAAAAAAAAAAAAAAAAGACAAAAAATTGTTTAAAGTGAGAAAAAAATTACAATTATGATTAAAAAAATGTAAGGAAAGGGAGAGAGAAAATGAACAGGAAAGAGGGAAATCAGTAGATCCCAGGAAAGGCGGAATAAGAGCAGAACAAGGAGAGGGTGGTGATGAAGGTCGCGCTAACACCTGAACAGGTGAGTCTTCAGCTGCTTAAATGCTAAATGGAACATTTCCATATCTGAGGAAAATAGCTAAAGTTGTGCCACTGTTTACGACTGGGGATGAACACAGCCTCAATAATTACAGGCCTGTTCCATTACTTCCAGTTTTCTAAAGTTCTAGAAAAACTGACATGAGATGGGAAACGTTCTTGGATAAAGATCAAATATTAACATAATGTCAGTTTGACTTTAGGGCCAATAGATCAACATCACTAGTACTACATGATTCTGTTGAGGAAATTACAAACGCTGTAGAGTGAAAACATTTTGCTGTTGGAATTTTTGGGATCTGTGGGAAGCCGTAGATGCGGTTGACATATTAATTGATAAACGAACAGTTTGAGATCAGGGGATTGGTTTGCAA